TAATGTGCTGTCAAATCAATTCTGACTTAGTGTTTTAGCCTTCCCTTCTTCTGGGGGGGCATCCTGGGACTGTGCAGCTTGCCCAAGGCCACACAGGCTGGCTCTTCTCTCAGGAGGCACAGTGGGGAATTGAACTCCCAGCCTCTGGCTCTGCAGTGAGGTACATGCCTTAGTTACATCCCAGCTGGATGATTGTAACACACTCTACATGGCCTATGGAAACTGTCAGGAAACTTCAATGGGTCCAAACTGCAGCATCCAGATTGCTAACTGGAGCTGGACACAGGGATCAGACAACTCTCCTGTTACAGCAGCTCCACTGGCTGTTGATTCGTTTCCGGGCAGAATTCAAAGTGCTGGTTCTAATAAAGCCCTAAATGGCTTGGACCCAAGCTATCTCAAGGACTGAATCTCCTTTTATGAGCCTGCGCGAGTGTTAAGATCATCACGAGAGGCCTTCCTCGGATCCACCACCTTCACAGGTGCATTTGGTGGAGACACAGGAGAGAAAGCTCGCTCAGTTGCTGCTCCCAGACTTTGGAACTCTCTCCGACAGGAAGCCAAGCTGGCCCCATCTTTGCTGTCCTTCCACAAGCAAGCAAAGACTTTTTTCTTCAGACAAGCTTTCCCTGAGCGAATGGCTGCTGAGTGGGTTTTTTTTTTAAAGATATATTGTTGTACCTGACTATGAATGTGTTTGGATGTTGCTTATGTTTTTTGATGTTGTATTCAGTGACCCTTTCAGTATTGTATCCTCACTGTTACTAACTTAACTACTGTCTTTTAATTGTTGTAAGCTATATTCAGCCCTTTTAAAATAGAAAAGTGAGGTAATTTTTTTAAATAAATAAAATACCCAAACCACTGAGCTATCCAGCCGGCTATGCTAATCATACTTTCTTTAAAATCTTTATAAGCAGAAAGGGAATCAACAGTGAAGTAAGGAAGTTCTATAAATTTTAATAAAAAAATGAAACAATCTGCTCTACATGGGTAGAAGATGTCTAAACCTGAAGCCTATGATTCTACAATGCCTGTAGTTTTAAACTTCCAGGAATAAATAAGGACTTCTTTGTCTCACCAATATGGACATTTTTTGTCCTAACAATTATATTCTCACTCTTTCTGTCTCAAATGTACATGTCAAACTGTTTTAAAATTACTGTGAAATAGAGTAAAACAAAAAAATGAAAAGGAACCAAAGGATCCAGTGCCCAGTATGACCAATATTTCTCTGAATATTTATATTCAGATGCAGAATTTTTTAAAAACCTACCTCAGTTCATGCACTGACTATCCAGCGTAAAGTGCAATAACGACTGGACCTTCTACACAGAGAGATCTTGAAAAAAACTAAACTAAACAATAACACTGTAGCTTGCATCCAAACTTCTCTCCCACAGATGGGAGCATCCCCTGAACAAAGCTTCACTCACAAGATGTGCCTTCTGTCTGAAGTGAGGGAAGTGATGACTTTTGTGTTCCTCATACCCACTTGTGTCCTGCAAAATTCTGTTCTGGAGAACCGCCCAAAGCGGAATGAGGTATCAGCAAAAACCACCACTTCCTGTGTCAGCAGGACTTTCGTTGCATGAAAAGTTTTCCATGGACAGATGGATTTCCTCCAATTCACAGGAAGCTACGCTAGGGTCCAATCAATTACTATCAGGGATCTAGAATACCTGAGAGGAAACACTTTCTGAAACTTGTCAGATGCATGATGTTGTATTTGAGAAAGCGGGAAACCTTTCTCAATAACTGCTGGGAAGACAACAAGTAGTTCCAGACAGGCAACACACAGAGGTTTACACCACTGAATTCTCTCTAACCCCACTGGCATCAACATATTCTTCAACTAGAGTGGATGGAAGGTAAATAACATGTGAATCTGGACTTGTGGAAAAGCCAGGATGATCTGATTAGCATTAAGACACAGTGGGAAACAGAGCTTTGCCTTCTGTGGCCAGTTGTTATATATTTAAGGGGAAATATTAAAAACACTGTGAAATGCCTTCCAGATAAAAGAAAATAAAATAAAAAGATGGAGCAAGAAGCCCCATCCTATGGTCTGAAAAGTGTGTGAGCTGGAGGTGCCATGACTATCTCATATGGTAATGTAGGGGACTCGGAGACTATGTCTACAGAAGAGAGGTGATGTGTTCTTCCTGCAGTCTTGATGAGAGGGTATTGTTCCATTCACACATTGTGTCACATAAACACAATGGTCTCTGGGAGCACATGCGTCGTTAACAGACCTGGGCAATGGGGAACTGACTATCTGAACAGTTGCCTCTGTGTGGACAAAGATGTACGGAAATACAATTAGCTGGTGGCAGGGAAAAGTGCAGAGGGTGCAGCAACACCACAGAGACTCCCCCCCCTCAATCCTTCTCCTTTGAACCTGACACTGACCCTGCATGATACAAACCCACATTTCTCCCCAGTGTGAAATCATAACCAGGACCATAGCTCTTTGTATGGCAACATCTTAGAACACTTCAAAAACACGAGTGAGAGAGAGAGAGTTATTCAGTGATATTATTGCTACTGTCCAGCTGGGGTTAATGGACCTGGTTTCTATCCCCTCCCTGTCAGCTGTACCCCAAAGCAGCATTCTCATGGATTCCCACCTGTGGACTGAAATTCTAATTTCAGGCCCCACTGCTCCTTCCTCCAGCACGATCACATTCCCCTCACCCACCCTCCAATTACTGAGATCTCAAGCAGCAATTATTTCATACCAAAGAAAGCTGCCTAGGCAGTGTCTCAATATTGGTAAGTAAATATTTCTGACCTTTCTGATGATTGCTTCCCTCCTCCCACTAACAAGGGAGAAGAAGCTGTAAAGAAATGACAAAATATCCAATTGTTTCCCACTGGGTGAAACTTCTAATTTCATGCCTTGATAATCATTCTCTACAGATAGCGCAGAGCTGAAAATTGAATGTAAATAGAGAACACCTAATCTATAAGGTCATTTGCAGGAGCCCTACTTCCTTCTGGGAAAAAATGTGATTGATTGTACTACCAGATGAGGAC